TATCCATACAAAATTTGGCACAAATATTGCTTTAGAACTCAGAAATATTTTAATATTTTTTTACGATCGGTCCATATTTGGTCATAGCTCCCATAGAAGGTCCCCTCCCGAAAATCACCTAAACGCACATAACTCATTGCTAAATTAAGATATTTATAAAAAAATTGGCACAAATATTACTTTTATATACTTAAATTTTACTGTAAAACATTTTTCCGATCGGTTCACAATTATTGGTAGCTCCCATACAAGGTCCATTCTGAAAATTACATAATCGTATATTTCTCATTACCAAATAATGATATCCTTACAAAATTTGCCACAAATATTAGTTTTGTATAGAAAAATGCTATTTCATATTTTTTTCACAATCGGTTCATAATTGGTCGTAACTCCCATACAAGGTCCCCGAAAATCACTTATTACCAAATAACGATATATGTATATAGATACAGAATTTGACTGAAATATAGCTTTTATATACTTACTGTAAGAACTTTTTATGATCAGCCTATAATTGGTCATAGCTCCCGTACTAGACCCCTTCCCGAAAACCACTTTAACCGTATTTAATTAAAATTCATTATCTTTAGTAAAATTTGTTTAGTATAAACATATTTGATAGTTGATCAATTAAAAAAGTATTAATATAAAAGTAACTAGTGGAGGGTACTTAGAGGGTACACATCACTCTAACATGTTTCAATTACAATTCTTCGATACTAAGAAAGTAGGAAATCATAACTTTTACAAAATTATGCTTATATTATGCTATATTTATAACTCTTTAGTTTAGGGAGGGTATATTGAGTTGGTGCTGATGTTTGTAACGCACAAAAATATTGATTATATACCCACCTTAAAATATATCAATCGGTTTGGAACCATTTTCTGAGTTGGTCAAAGTACAGATCGCAATTTTTAAATCAGTTTGATGAAATTGCCACAAATGTTCATTTTGGCCCTGGAACTATGCCTATTGATATTGGTTCTTAAATTCTCTTAGACCTCATATAACTGAACCCCCCGGATAGAGGGTTTGAGCTCATAGCACCCATACAAATGCCCCCTTCAGAAAATGACTTCAATGTACATAATTCACTTAAATCCAACCTGCAATGCAATATAATGTGGATCGGTTCTTATTTGCCCCTAACCCCTATATAAAGCTTCTATCAGAAAATATGTTTTGTATTAATAAATTTGGGGTAATCTCTTGTATATGGTATCAAATGGTTGGCTCTGGTTTTCAGATCCAACCGATTTTCTTAAATCTATTGAGAATTAATAATACATTTACATATATATGTATATGAATCGATATTTTGGTCTGAAAGACATACAATTTTACTATTTAAACTACTTCTTTGTTATGACACATACAATTTTGAAAGTTTCAGGGAAAGGACCACTAGATCCCGTCAAAAATTTTAACTAGTATTGAAAAACAAGTAATTAGAGAAGATTTTGAAGATTACTAAGCTAACGATGTAATCTATATATTATAAAAGAGTAGCGTTACTGACTGACTGATTCATCATCGCACAGCCCAAACGGCTGAACCTAGAATCATAAAATTTTGACAGTAGATGTGTTTTTGGTTATGTAGATCCACTAAGGAGAGATTTTTGGAAATTTGTACATTTACGGGTAAAAAGGGGAAAAACGGTTAAAACAGGTTTTCTTAATTATCTTACCTAATATTAGTGATACAAGAAAAATTTTAAATGCACCTGTATCTACTCTTAAAATGAGCAGATGGGTGCCTGGTACTTTTTTGAAATTCGTACTTTTAAGGGCTAAAAATGTGTAACAAAGGTGATTTTGGTACCTTTTTTGGCCCTTTATAACTTTTGAACTAATTAACATAATAAAATTTTTATAAATTCTTTGGATACATCTCCCAAAATTAGGAGACACATGTTTCGTACTTTTTTAAAATTCAGTCCTTTTGGGTGTAAAATGGAGAAAACTCTATTTATTGTACTTTTTTAGCACATTAAGAAAACTTTTTCGGTTTATTGAATTATTCCTATTAAATTACGGACTAACTCTGTAATATTTATTGTAATAAAATTTTTGCTATTTCACTGGGGAAAAAGGTACCAAAAAGGGAAAAAGCGGGAAATTTAATTTTATTCAAACTCATTGAGCCAATTTTTATAAAATTTGAAAAAGTAGTTTATTTACTTAACATAAAATAAGCTATTGGTATATTATTTTGGAATTCGAGTACTAAGGCCTATATAGGACCAAATTCGAGTAAATTGTTTGGTACTTTTTTAAGCACTATTTTTCTGGAACAAATGAATGCAGATTTGAATCGTTTGAGTTTTATTTGTGATATATAGATTTAAATACGGAACATTTTGTAAACTTAATTCTCGAAAAAGTATATTTCTAAACGAAAAGGGGAAAAATTGTATTCTTTATTAGTACTTTCCACTTAGGTAAAATTTATTCCACTTTTGGTACTTTTTCTTTCTTTAAATGATACTCTTTGTATGTTCTTTAATATGAATTCAATACACATGATTATTAAACTTACACGGTCCTCATTGAATAAGATTCTTTAAGAGAGAACTTTTTAGTACTTTTTATCTCATAAATGGTACTTTTTTAATTTTCTAAAATATACAACCTAAGAACATGAATTTTAACATACATGGTCTTGACTGAATAATATTCTGTAAGTGGGAACTATTTGGTACTTTTTTATTCTTCGAATGGTTCCTTTTAGATTCCTTATAATGGTTAACCGGAACACACGGTCCTTATTAGATGAGAGTTTATTGAGAGAGATTTTTGTATGTATTTAATTTAAGTTATTGTAGGGTAGCGAAGTTATTGTAGGGTAATCAATAAACTCAGGAACTACGTCACCTGATATGACAAAATTTCTAATATATGTTTCAGAGATCGTAGGAGTGTTTCTGTAAAGTTTTAAATGTCTCCATCAGATGGCATGGAAGTTTTAATTTTCAGTTAGTTACACCTAAACTACAAAATCGATTATGTTAAAAGTAGAGTCCTTATGTCAAATCGAGGGCCTGCAACGCGGAGCGTGCAGCACTAGTTTATGATAAATAGTCAAATGGCCACATAGACTGTTCTGAGTTTTCGAAAATATTTGCATTCACCCCTTTTCTGCATTTCGATTACGTTTACGCTTTCAGTTACGCAACGATCGAAAAATGGTATTCCAATAAAAGACTGAATCTTAAGAAAAAGAAGAAGCAATTCCATTTCGTTTCAATACTTTACGAATGTGAGTATTCTGCTTTACGAATGAGTCTATTCTATTAGTTTATAGTCAAGACTATAGTTTAGTCTATATTATGGACTTATCTCTAGTTTAGAGTATTGTCTAGTCTCTAGTCTGGCTTGCAGTCTAGTCGATAGTCTGGACTTTGGTCTAGTTCATAGTCAAAGCCTTTGTCTAGTTTATTTAGTGTAGCATATATTCTGGACTAAAGCCTAGCCTGGACTATAGTCTAGTCAACAGGATGGACTTTAGTCTAGTCTATAGTCTGGACTATAGTCTAGTCTATAGGATGGACTATAGTCTAGTCTATAGTCTGGACTATGGTCAAGACTAGACTATAGGATGGACTATCTATAGTTTGCACTATAACCAATTTATAGACTAAATGAAAACATGGTCTACAGTCTGAAATATAATCTTGTTTGTGCTTTAGTATAGTCTATTTCCTGAAGTATACTCTAGTCCATAGACGATACTACATACTACTCTGTAGTCTAGATTAGAGTCTGTCCTATAGTATATTGTCTGGACTGTAGTCTAGTTCATAGTATTGTCTACTCTGTAGTTTGGAGTATTGTCTACTCTGTAGTCTGTACTATAGTCTACTTTATAGTCAAGAGTTTAGTCTATTCTACAGTCTGTCCCATAATCTAGTATATAATTTGGTTAATATGAAGTCTATAGTCTAGATTGTAATATAGTCTTTAATCTGACATATAGTATATTCTATAGACTAGTCTATAATCTGAATCTTAAAAAAAGAAGAAGCAATGTGAGTATTCTGCGTTACGATCGTACCTATGTTTTTGTAAGTTGTTGTTTATGTGGCGGAGAATCGAGTCGAAAAGCAGAATACGAAATTTGCCAAACGGAAAAAACTTCGATTCGAATTGAAATGCAGAATAGGGGCGATTATGATATTTACTTTCCCACCATTACATTCACTGATCAGTCATTAAGAAAGATCAGCACCTCTATTAACATAAAATTAAGCCTAATATTATGCTACATATTTAAACTTTTTGTTTAAATCTAACAAATTTTTTAAACCTATTGAGAATTACAAATTCGTTTTAAACTAATTGTTAACATTTTTATTCTGCTGTCACCTTATTAAAACTACAACAATAAAAACATGTTATTTATGGCCTCTTTTGGCTAGTTTGTTAACGTATTTTTACAATTTTATTCAACTTTTGTTAACGAAACTTATAAAAATATCAATAATAAAACTGAAAAAAAACATAAACTAATCACATCAGTAGCGGTAATAAATTATAATAAATATGACTTTAAATGAAAAAAAAGAAACCTCAAAAAACATTATTAAAATTTAATTTATAAACAATTTTTTTTTTGTTTGCAAAATAGAAAAACACAACAAAAAATAAGGAAATTATGCATAAATTTTAAGAAATAATAGGGATTATGTCAAATTAAAACAAAGTATTTTTTTTTGAATAATTTGACAGATAATAAAAGAATAAAGACATAATAGTTACATATTAACTGAAATGACAAATTATTTTGTAGGAACTGTCAAAAAATGTTCTGTCAAAATGAAAGGAAATTTTTAGAATGTCTTCATTGTTTAAGTGTATAGGTATATGACATAGAAAAACACTCATAAAACTATAATAAATTAATTAATTATTGTTTTATAAGTATTTTGCTCTTGATATTTTGTTAAAAAAAAAACTGTATAAAAATTATTTAGATAAAATTGTTTGTTTTGTTTTTGTAGTTGTAGATTTTTTTATTAGTTTATCATTATTGTTATTATTAAGATAAATATTATTAATTATTATTAATTAAGATGTTTCTAGAGTGTAAATTTTTTTATCATATTGGTGGGGAAAAGAATTAAGAATTTTGACAGGAAATTGTTGTTGTTTCTTTCTATCAACAGCATAAAACTTAAATTTAATCATCACCACCAGTCATAACTTCCATGAATTCTGTAAAGTTTAAAAAAAAAGATTTATAATAAAAATCTTTAACTTTAGCTCATTGGCAACTTACCATCAAAATCTACGGTACCAGAACCATCAGAATCAATTTCTTCAATCATCATGTCCAAATCTTCATTCGTCAGTTTGTCATCCAATTCACGAAGAATTTCACGTAACACACCTGTAGTAATATAGCCATTGCCCTCTTTGTCGTATAAACGGAAGGCCTCTTTGAGTTCTGCTTGCATTGCCTCAGCATCTTCTTCAACCAGGAAACGGGCGGCCAGTGTAGTGAATTCTTCAAATTCAATTTGTCCTGAACCATCTTCATCGACTTCAGCAATAATTTCAGCTAAAGTAGCCTCATCCAATTGATGACCCAACATGCTGAGTATAGTGCCCACCATCTGGGTGCTGATATAGCCCTGTTTCTCCGGATCGAATGCATTGAAAGCATTACGGAGTACTGCAAATAAAATTGTAACCATTAATTTCCTTTCACTTATTAAACTAAATGTTTTTTAGTGTTTTTAAGATTGATGTCTTGTACATTATGTCCAGGTCTCAGATGTTGTTAATGTGTCTCCTTAAACGTAATCATTTCAATCATAATCTTGGCCGAAATATGTCATTTGTATTATGAAATAGTATTTTTTAATATGTAGTCCATAACTGCACCTTTCTAACTCTTATTGAAGAAAAAAAAAATTGTACCCATGTTTAACTACGTATTACAAGTATTTAAAAGAAATCTTAAGAAATGTTTAAATCACAGTGGGTCAGTGGCATATTAACAACAGATATGTATGTATTCAAAAACTGTCAATTAAAATTTAATGAAAGTGTTTGTTTATTTATCTATAACATATGTAAAAGTGTTATTTACTTAAGCGCATTATTACTTATAAGCTGACTAATCCTTACTTACGAGTTATTAATGTCAAGTATTATTGAAACAAAAAGTTTTTATTTGCTTTTTGGACTCATAATATAAAAACACCGTAAAACTGTTATTCATATTTTTGATACAATAAACAATATTTTTTTAAAATTAAATTACATTTATATCAATAAATATTTGATCTTATACAAATAATTACTTCTATTGTCTGGACAATAATTATACTCCAAGTCCAGCCATAGTTTATAGTCTAGACTATAGTATGAACTGTTGCCTTGTCTACAGGCTAGACTATAGTCTGAACTAAGGTGTAGACTACAGTCTGGCCTATAGTCTAGTCTATTGACTGGACTATAGTCTAGTCTATTGCCTGGATTATAGTCTAGTCTATTGCCTGGAATATAGTGTAGTCTATTACCTGGACTATAGTGTAGTCTATTACCAGGACTATTGTATAGTCTATACTCAGGATTTTAGTATAGTCTATAGTCAGGACTTTAGTCTTGTTTACAGTCTGGACTATAGTCTAGTCTATATTCTGGACTATAGTCTAGTCTATAGTCTGGACTATAGTCTAGTCTATAGTCTGGACTATAGTTTAGTCTATAGTCTGGACTATAGTCTAGTCTATAGTCTGGACTATAGTCTAGTCTATAGTCTGGACTATAGTCTAGTCTATAGTCTGGACTATAGTCTAGTCTATGGTCTGGACTATAGTCTAGTCTATAGTCTGGACTATAGTCTAGTCTATAGTCTGGACTATAGTCTAGTCTATAGTCTGGACTATAGTCTAGTCTATAGTCTGGACTATAGTCTAGTCTATAGTCTGGACTATAGTCTAGTCTATAGTCTGGACTATAGTCTAGCCTATAGTCTGGACTATAGTCTAGTCTATAGTCTGGACTATAGTCTAGTCTATAGTCTGGACTATAGTCTAGTCTATAGTCTGGACTATAGTCTAGTCTATAGTCTGGACTATAGTCTAGTCTATAGTCTGGACTATAGTCTAGTATCTAGTCTGGACTATAGTCTAGTCTAGTCTATAGTCTGGACTATAGTCTAGTCTATAGTCTGGACTATAGTCTAGTCTATAGTCTGGACTATAGTGTAGTCTATAGTCTGGACTATAGTGTTGTCTATAGTCTGGACTATAGTGTAGTCTATTACCAGGACTATTGTCTAGTCTATATTCAGGACTTTAGTATAGTCTATAGTCAGGACTTTAGTCTTGTTTATAGTCTGGACTATAGTCTAGTCTATATTCTGGACTATTGTCTAGTCTATATTCTGGACTATAGTCTAGTCTATATTCTGGACTATTGTCTAGTCTATAGTCTGGACTATAGTCTAGTCTATATTCTGGACTATAGTCTAGTCTATATTCTGGACTATAGTCTAGTCTATATTCTGGACTATAGTCTAGTCTATATTCTGGACTATAGTCTAGTCTATAGTCTGGACTATAGTCTAGTCTATAGTCTGGACTATAGTCTAGTCTATAGTCTGGACTACAGTCTATTCTATAGTCTGGACTACAGTCTAGTCTGTAGTCTGGACTGTAGTCTAGTCTATAGTCTGGACTATAGTCTAGTCTATAGTGTGGGCTATGGTCTAGTCTATAGTCTGGACTACAGTCTAGTCTATAGTCTGGACTATAGTCTAGTCTATAGTCTGGACTATAGTCTAGTCTATAGTCTGGACTATAGTCTAGTCTACAGTCTAGTCTATAGTCTGGACTACAGTCTAGTCTATAGTCTGGACTATAGTCTAGTCAGTAGTCTGGACTATAGTCTAGTCTATAGTGTGGACTATAGTCTAGTCTATAGTCTGGACTATAGTCTAGTCTATAGTCTGGACTATAGTCTAGTCTATAGTCTGGACTATAGTCTAGTCTATAGTCTGGACTATAGTCTAGTCTATAGTCTGGACTATAGTCTAGTCTATAGTCTGGACTATAGTCTAGTCTATAGTCTGGACTATAGTTTAGTCTATAGTCTGGACTATAGTCTAGTCTATAGTCTGGACTATAGTTTAGTCTATAGTCTGGACTATAGTCTAGTCTATAGTCTGGGCTATAGTCTAGTCTATAGTCTAGTCTATAGTCTGGACTACAGTCTAGTCTATAGTCTGGACTATAGTCTAGTCTATAGTCTGGACTATAGTCTAGTCTAGTCTATAGTCTGGACTATAGCCTAGTCTATAGTCTGGACTATAGTCTAGTTTATAGTCTGGACTATAGTCTAGTCTATATTCTGGACTATAGTCTAGTCTATATTCTGGACTATAGTCTAGTCTATATTCTGGACTATAGTCTAGTCTATAGTGTGGATTATAGTCTAGTCTATAGTTTGGACTAGAGTCTAGTCTATAGTCTGGACTATAGTCTAGTCTATAGTCTAGACTACAGTCTAGTCTGGACTATAGTCTAGTCTATAGTCTGGACTATAGTCTAGTCTATAGTATGGACTATAGTCTAGTCTATAGTCTGGACTATAGTCTAGTCTATAGTCTGGACTATAGTCTAGTCTATAGTCTGGACTATAGTCTAGTCTATAGTCTGGACTATAGTGTAGTCTATAGTCTGGACTACAGTCTAGTCTATAGTCTGGACTTTAGTCTAGTCTATAGGCTGGACTATAGTGTAGTCTATAGTCTGGACTATAGTGTAGTCTATAGTCTGGACTATAGTGTAGTCTATAGTCTGGACTATAGTCTAGTCTATAGTCTGGACTATAGTCTAGTCTATAGTCTGGACTATAGTCTAGTCTATAGTCTGGACTATAGTCTAGTCTATAGTCTGGACTATAGTCTAGTCTATAGTCTGGACTATAGTCTAGTCTATAGTCTGGACTATAGTCTAGTCTATAGTCTGGACTATAGTCTAGTCTATAGTCTGGACTATAGTCTAGTCTATAGTCTGGACTATAGTCTAGTCTATAGTCTGGACTATAGTCTAGTCTATAGTCTGGACTATAGTCTAGTCTATAGTCTGGACTATATTCTAGTCTATATTCTGGACTATAGTCTAGTCTATAGTCTGGACTATAGTCTAATCTATAGTCTGGACTATAGTCTAGTCTATAGTTTGGACTATAGTCTAGTCTATAGTTTGGACTATAGTCTAGTCTATAGTTTGGACTATAATCTGGACTATAGTCTAGTCTATAGTCTCGACTTTAGTCTAGTCTATAGTCTGGACTGTAGTCTAATCTATAGTCCAGACTATAGTCTAGTCTATAGTCTGGACTGTAGTCTAATCTATAGTCTGGACTATTGTCTAGTCTATAGTCTGGACTATAGTCTAGTCTATAGTCTAGATTATAGTGTGGTTTATATTCTGGATTAGACTGGACTATATTCTGGACGACAGTCTAGTCTATAGTCTGGACTATAGTCTAGTCTATAGTCTGGACTATAGTCTATTCTATAGTCTGGACTATGGTCTTCTCCATAGTCTGGACTATAATCTACTCCATAGTCTGAACTATAATCTACTCCATAGTTTGGACTATAATCTATTTTAGGCTGTAGTCTAGGCTATAGTATAATCTATAGTCTGATCTATAGTGTAGTATGTAGTCTGGCTAAAGTCTAGTATATAGTCTGGCTATAGTCTTCTATATATTCTGGAATCTATTCAAGTGTATAGTCTGGACTATAGTCTAATCTATGGTCTGGGCTATAATCCAGTCTATGGTCTGGACTATAGTCTAGTCTAGTCTAGCCTTTGGTCGGCACTATAGTCTAGTGTATAGTCTGGACTATAGTCTAGTCTATAGTCTGGACTGTTGTCTACAGTCTGGTCTATTATATGGACTATAAAATGTTGCTAGTCTGTAATGTAGACTACAGTATGGACTTTGGTTCATTCTATATACTTCAGTCTATCCTTATACTAATCTCTAATATGGACTACAGTCCATTCCTTTATGAAGTCTCTTTAATACAAACTTTTTCCATTATTAATATATTTGCTACCCACTGTTCCATAGTTTTTATCCCATTTATTATAGAGCACTTTTAACATCACTTTAGATTTGTGAGTCCATGTCATGCGTAATTCTCTAACTATGTATATTTGTATAAATTTTCGCAAATTGTGTGTTTTGCTATAATAAATTTTTCTTAAGATTTCTTTTTGCAAATAACAACAGAAACTATACTATAGCTTATGATGGTGTATAGCCTGTGCTTGTCTACAATCCAGCTGTGCCTGTCTTTCCATCACAAATGTAATTTAATGTCCACCACAATTAACGTGGGTGTTTTTGCAATATAAATAAAAATTAATTTTTAAATTTAAACAATTTTTTTTTTCTTTTTTTGATTTTCTTTAGCAATTGCTACTAGTGTTGTTGCTCTTTCTTCATTTCGGTTTTAATCGTTTACTGTCAAACAATTAAGTGAACAAAAAAAACATGTTTAAAAAATTTAAATGCATAAAATATTATTTAAATAAATGTTTTATTTTTAAACACTTTGATCATTTAGTGTGTTGAGTATAACTGATAATTTGTTTAAATATTTTTAGTTGGTGGATTTGTAGCTTTAAAATAGTGTTGAGTTGTTTGTTAGTGTCAAACTTTTTTTTGAGGGTGGGGAATAGTGTCGCAATACTTACGGACAATTTGTTCCTTGTTGAGCTCATCCTATAAGGGGAAAAAAGAAAGAAAGGAAAAATGTTTAGTTTGTAATTGTAAGAAATAAGCTTTATTCTTTTAACGGGATGTTTAAGTTATAAATCCTAACAAGGGTTTAAGATGTTTATCAAAGTTTAAAGACTTTCTGCATAAACAAATTTTCCTTTTATAAACAGTTTATTAATCAAATTTTGTACAAAAACTTTAAAAACCTCGGAACTAAGTAGTTTTAAGGAGAAAGCTTTTCCTACGATTTTTGTTTGAAATGTTAAAGATTGGGTCCAATTTTCATAAATAGTTGTGGAATTACACAGGCCGAAAAATTTTTAACCCAGAGTATACTTTTCTAAAGGATTGAATCTGTTGTAATTGATGAGGTATGATGACCCATTAAAGTTGACGGATGGACAGACATTGTTAAGTCGAACCAGAAAGTTATTTTGAGTTGATTAGATCATGTTCATGTAGTTGTGGATCCAATATTTTTGTTTGTTATAAAATATTTTTACAAATCATAATAGCCTCTGAAGCATAGCAGTGTAAGTTATAAATACCATGAATATACTGAAACCCATGAGATTCCAAGATTTATGTGAAGATATCTCGAAGAGGGAAGAAGATATGTCAGATCTTAAGTCTTTATTTTAAAGTTAACATAAAGTTGTCTTGGCGCTGTTATAACGTCTCAAAAAGGTACAAAAAATGAGTTTTTCCAAATTTTAGGACACGATATTTCAAATCCCAAATGTGATGGAGAAATTCTGAGTTCAGATTCGGATTCAGCTCTATCCTTTGAAAAAGTATAACTTGGTCTCAGGGTTTTGACTTTTTTCAAATTTTGTCGGTCTGTGTTATCATTAGCTCAATTATATTTGAAAAAACTTTCTTAAAATATCTTTGTTTCTTTGTATGACTCTAAACTAATTAGGACAGGGAATTGAAAACTTTTTAACCGAAATATGTATACTACTTTGAACCTAATCAAAATACCAATTCCCATCGAAAGTCCGTCCAATAATGGAGCCAGTAAATTAGATTGCAATAAATAGATTAGGCTGTCGGAAAATATGTTATCAGTAGATGTTTCCCAACCTCCAGAAGGCAATTAGGTTAACATCTGGTATTAAGGTAAAATTCATGATCGTAATGGACTGTGAAAGAGTCTTAATCGAATGCCCTTCAAAATGTCACAGTAGAATAATCTGCAACGAAATAGCGAATATATGTACTTGCTGTAAAGGGAAGGAAGATTAAGAAAAACGTTGGAAGTAAAGTCGGCTTAATAAAAAAGCATAGACGGGAGAATACCTTGCGAACGCATACCATAATAAAACTTTACTGTAGCGAGTAGAATGAAATGGTTCCATGTGAGTTCTGATTGGACTCTATAGAAAATTAGAGGAACGGCAATTCAGCCGAATAAAGTTTACGAAGTATTCAAAGAGAAATTACTAGGATTTGGTCTAAACAGTCAAACAAACGAAAACTGAAATACCTGGGAAGGTGGATCCGAGTAGAACAAGAATATGTTTTTAAAATTTGCCAAACACCTCCAAAATCTTGAGTTACAGGTAAAAAAACGGGTTTTCGTACCTTTAAGCACTTATAAGTCAATAACATAGTTGAATCTGAACCGATTTTAACCTATCCCCCATATAAAGCATCCTTCAGAAAATCAATTTTTGAACAATTTTGTATTAAGAAAATGATGAAATTTACACATATCTCTCCAGGTTACTTAAACGTTATATATGTTATTATAAAGTCCTCAGCTTTTGCTTTCAAAATTCGTGGAGAAACTTAAAATCGGTTCAGATTTAATTAAGTTACTGAGTTATAAGTACGAAAAAACCGGTTTTTTACCCTAACTCAAGATTTTGGAGACAAATTTCAAAAACATATTCTTGTTCTACTCGGATCCATCTTTCAGAAATATTGTATCAGTTTCCAGGTATTTATTTTTGTCGCATAGTTTTATTCTAGATATTTCATACCTCAGGAACACTTATTGGATAATTCTCAAGAATGAGTTTTCATTTGGAAGACAATGCCCTTATAGGGCTATATAAGCCCACTAGTTATCATGTAAAGGAGCGCACAACTGAACCGATAGCGGCCTCGGTGTATTTCTTTGGATCTGATGTTGTTTATGCCATCCTTCCATACCTAACATTCCTGATATCGAACATTTAAATATCAGAAGTTTCTGGGAACCAACTTAAATACTCCACAGCTAGTTCTATGGTTGGCAGACATACACATACATATTTATGTATGTAGTAGTAGACGTGATAAAAATAATCCTTTTTTGAAGATTTTAAAATTTTTTGAACATTATAAAATTTATTAATAAACTATTATTCTTTTATATAATCTAGTATCAAAATCTTTTTTGGATAAATTTCCGATTTATTCTATTCACAAAATTTTCAAAGAATTCTTTTCCAAAAATTAATCCATTAGCACAAATATTTTTTTTTGTTTAAATAATAAATTTGTTCAGATAATATCTCCGCTGTAATTTTTTAATAAATATTTTCGTAAAATTTTAACAAAAATACCCACCATGTTAATTAATTAGTATTAAAACACACAAATAATTAATAAAAATTAATTAAAACGAAGAAAATCCTTTTCCGTAGGAAAAATTTAAACGTGAAAAAAAACTTATTGAGAAACACAGGAACAAACGTTAAAGACGACAGAAAGACGAAAACTGAAGGAAGTTAAAACACCCGCACACAGACACAAACACACGCTTAATAAATTATTTTCCTCTGACTACACTCAAAGAAATAAATTCGATGAAAATTACAAAAACAAAGAAAGAGGAAGAATAATAAACCACACACCCGCGTTATAATATTAAAGAAAATATTTCAAATGGCATCAAAAAAAAAAAAACGCGTTTGTTCTTTTATTTTTGTTACGAATTTCGAATTTCTTCGAATATTTTTCGGTTTATTTTTGGTGTGTTTGGGTCAGAAACAGTTGTTACGCTGAGAAATGATTAAGAAGAACTAAATCAATTACAAGATCTAAAGGCTCAAAACTTTTTTGTTGCAAAAAAAACTAAGAAAAAACTATATATTGCAACCACACAACATTACATTAAAACAAGTGCAACCAACATCAATACCAACACACTCAAGAAATTTTAAATTTTACAAAAAAAAAAATATGAAAATATTTCTTTACAAAATACGACAAAAATCGCCTCAAGTAGCAACAACAACTAGCAAAACTAATAAATATGTATAAAATTTAAAAAGGTGTAAAGAACTACACAACAACATGTACTGCAGCAGCAATAGAAGTAAAAAAATATATAGAAAAGAAATGCAACAAACTATAATAAATATGCAACAACAAATTTGCCTCTTATATTCAACATATACACACTCCTTTCAAATATGTTTATGCACACATTAAAATATCTGCAAAAAATATTTATAATGTTTAGTTTACTATGAGATACATAAAAATGCAATTCATTGAATTATTTTGTTTTTCTTGAAGGAAAATTGTTTAAAACAAAACCCCTACATTCGATAGAGTTGTTAAAAGGATGTGGTAAAATACAAGTTACACTCTTATTTCTATTCTACTGGACTGTAGTATAGTCTATAGTCTTGGCTATAGTATAGTTTATAGACTGGGCTATAGCATAGTCTTTCTTCTAGCTTTTAGTTAGGTCTACTGTCTAAACTATATATTGCTTGGACTATCATCTACACAATAGTCTAAATATAGTCTAGTCTATAGTGTGGACTAGAGTCTAATCTATAATCTGGACTAGAGTCTAGTCTATATTCTGGACTGGAGTATAGTTTATAGTCTGTACTATAGTCTAGTCTATAGTCTAGTCTATAGTCTAGTCTATAGTCTAGTCTATAGTCTAGTCTATAGTCTAGTCTATAGTCTAGTCTATAGTCTAGTCTATAGTCTAGTCTATAGTCTAGTCTATAGTCTAGTCTATAGTCTAGTCTATAGTCTAGTCTATAGTCTAGTCTATAGTCTAGTCTAGTCTATAGTCTAGTCTATAGTCTAGTCTATAGTCTAGTCTAGTCTATAGTCTAGTCTATAGTCTAGTCTATAGTCTAGTCTAGTCTATAGTCTAGTCTATAGTCTAGTCTATAGTCTAGTCTATAGTCTAGTCTATAGTCTAGTATATAGTCTAGTCTATAGTCTAGTCTATAGTCTAGTCTATAGTCTAGTCTATAGTCTAGTCTATAGTCTAGTCTATAGTCTAGTCTATAGTCTAGTCTATAGTCTAGTCTATAGTCTAGTCTATAGTCTAGTCTATAGTCTAGTCTATAGTCTAGTCTATAGTCTAGTCTATAGTCTAGTCTATAGTCTAGTCTATAGTCTAGTCTATAGTCTAGTCTATAGTCTAGTCTATAGTCTAGTCTATAGTCTAGTCTATAGTCTAGTCTATAGTCTAGTCTATAGTCTAGTCTATAGTCTAGTCTATAGTCTAGTCTATAGTCTAGTCTATAGTCTAGTCTATAGTCTAGTCTATAGTCTAGTCTATAGTCTAGTCTATAGTCTAGTCTATAGTCTAGTCTATAGTCTAGTCTATAGTCTATCTATAGTCTAGTCTATAGTCTAGTCTATAGTCTAGTCTATAGTCTAGTCTATAGTCTAGTCTATAGTCTAGTCTATAGTCTAGTCTATAGTCTAGTCTATAGTCTAGTCTATAGTCTAGTCTATAGTCTAGTCTATAGTCTAGTCTATAGTCTAGTCTATAGTCTAGTCTATAGTCTAGTCTATAGTCTAGTCTATAGTCTAGTCTATAGTCTAGTCTATAGTCTAGTCTATAGTCTAGTCTATAGTCTAGTCTATAGTCTAGTCTAGTCTAGTCTATAGTCTAGTCTATCTATAGTCTAGTCTATAGTCTAGTCTATAGTCTAGTCTATAGTCTAGTCTATAGTCTAGTCTATAGTCTAGTCTATAGTCTAGTCTATAGTCTAGTCTATAGTCTAGTCTAGTCTATAGTCTAGTCTATAGTCTAGTCTATAGTCTAGTCTATAGTCTAGTCTATAGTCTAGTCTATAGTCTAGTCTATAGTCTAGTCTATAGTCTAGTCTATAGTCTAGTCTATAGTCTAGTCTATAGTCTAGTCTATAGTCTAGTCTATAGTCTAGTCTATAGTCTAGTCTATAGTCTAGTCTATAGTCTAGTCTATAGTCTAGTCTATAGTCTAGTCTATAGTCTAGTCTATAGTCTAGTCTATAGTCTAGTCTATAGTCTAGTCTATAGTCTAGTCTATAGTCTAGTCTATAGTCTAGTCTATAGTCTAGTCTATAGTCTAGTCTATAGTCTAGTCTATAGTCTAGTCTATAGTCTAGTCTATAGTCTAGTCTATAGTCTAGTCTATAGTCTAGTCTATAGTCTAGTCTATAGTCTAGTCTATAGTCTAGTCTATAGTCTAGTCTATAGTCTAGTCTATAGTCTAGTCTATAGTCTAGTCTATAGTCTAGTCTATAGTCCTAGTCTATAGTCTAGTCTATAGTCTAGTCTATAGTCTAGTCTATAGTCTATGTCTAATAGTCTAGTCTATAGTCTAGTCTATAGTCTAGTCTATAGTCTAGTCTATAGTCTAGTCTATAGTCTAGTCTATAGTCTAGTCTATAGTCTAGTCTATAGTCTAGTCTATAGTCTAGTCTATAGTCTAGTCTATAGTCTAGTCTATAGTCTAGTCTATAGTCTAGTCTATAGTCTAGTCTATAGTCTAGTCTATAGTCTAGTCATAGTCTAGTCTATAGTCTAGTCTATAGTCTAGTCTATAGTCTAGTCTATAGTCTAGTCTATAGTCTAGTCTATAGTCTAGTCTATAGTCTAGTCTATAGTCTAGTCTATAGTCTAGTCTATAGTCTAGTCTATAGTCTAGTCTATAGTCTAGTCTATAGTCTAGTCTATAGTCTAGTCTATATCTAGTCTATAGTCTAGTCTATAGTCTAGTCTATAGTCTAGTCTATAGTCTAGTCTATAGTCTAGTCTATAGTCTAGTCTATAGTCTAGTCTATAGTCTAGTCTATAGTCTAGTCTATAGTCTAGTCTATAGTCTAGTTCTATAGTCTAGTCTATAGTCTAGTCTATAGTCTAGTCTATAGTCTAGTCTATAGAGTCATAGTCTAGTCTATAGTCTAGTCTATAGTCTAGTCTATAGTCTAGTCTATCGTCTAGTCTATAGTTAGTCTATAGTCTAGTCTATAGTCTAGTCTATAGTCTAGTCTATAGTCTAGTCTATAGTCTAGTCTATAGTCTAGTCTATAGTCTAGTCTATAGTCTAGTCTATCTAGTCTATAGTCTAGTCTATATAGTCTAGTCTATAGTCTAGTCTATAGTCTAGTCTATAGTCTAGTCTATAGTCTAGTCTATAGTCTAGTCTATAGTCTAGTCTATAGTCTAGTCTATAGTCTAGTCTATAGTCTAGTCTATAGTCTAGTCTATAGTCTAGTCTATAGTCTAGTCTATAGTATTAGTATATAGTCTTAGCTAGTCTATAGTCTTAGTCTATAGTCTAGTCTATAGTCTATGTCTATAGTCTAGTCTTAGTCTATAGTCTAGTCTATAGTCTAGTCTATTAGTCTAGTCTATAGTCTAGTCTATAGTCTAGTCTATAGATTAGTCTATAGTCTAGTCTATCGTCTAGTCTAGTCTAGTCTAAGTCTAGTCTATAGTCTAGTCTATAGTTCTAGTCTATAGGTCTAAGTTCTCTAGTCTAGGTCTATAGCTCTAGTCTATAGTCTAGTCTATCGTCTAGGTTCTATAGTCTAGTCTATAGTCTAGTCTATAGTCTAGTCTATAGTCTAGTCTATAGTCTAGTCTATTAGTCTAGTGTATAGCTAGTCTATAGCTGTCTAGTGTATAGTCTGTAGTCTGGACTATAGTCTAATTTATAGCCTATAGTCTGATCTGTAGTCTGGTCTACAGTCTGGACTACAGCCTAGTGTCTAGACTGGAATATAGTCTAGTCTCTAGTCCAGTCTATAGTCTAGTCTATAGTGTGAACTATAGTCTAGTGAATAGCCTAAACTGTAGTCTAGTCTAAGTGTGGAATATAGTAGATTTTATAGTAGTGTGAAGTCTGGCCTAGTCTGCACTATATTCTAATCTATAGTCTGGACTATAATCTAGTCTATAGTATGAACTATAGTCTAGTCAATAGTCTGGACTATAGTCTAGTCAATAGTCTGGACTATAGTCTAGTCTAAAGTGTGGAATATAGTCTATTCTATAGTAGTGTGAAGTCTGGCCTGTAGCACAGGCTATCTACAGTCTGGACTATAGTATATTTAGTCTAGTCTATAGTCTAGTCTTGTCTATAGTCTAGTCTATAGTCTGGACTATAGTCTAGTCTACCGTCTGGACTGCAGCCTAGTCTCTAGACTGGAATATAGTCTAGTCTCTAGTCTGGAATATAGTCTGGTCTATAGTCTGGACTATAGTCTAGTCAAAAGTGTGGAATATAGTCGATTCTATAGTAGTGTGAACTCTGGCCTTTATTCCAGTCTCACTACAGTCTGGACTACAGTATAGTTTATACTAAATGCTTTAGTATTATCTAGTTTGGACTATAGCCTAGTCTCTAGTCTGGACAATAGTCTAGTCTATAGTCTGGAGTATAGTCTGGAGTATAGTCCGGACTATAGTCTAGTCTTTAGCTGGATTATAATCTAGTCTATAGTCTAATCTATTATCTGGACAATTGTCTAGTCTGTAGTGTAGGCAATAGTTTAGTCTATAGTCTAGCCTATAGTCCAGACTTCAGCCTAGTCTATAGTCTGGGCTATAGTCTAGACTATAGCATACTCTTTAATCTGGGCTATAGACTAGTCCATAACCTAGTCTATAGTCTGGACTATAGCTCAATCTATAGTCAGGACTATAGTACAATCTTTTGTATGGACTATAGTATAATCTATAGTCTGTACTATAGCCTAGTCTATAGTGTGTAATATAGTCGATTATATAGTAGTCTGTAGCCTGGACTATAGTCCAGTTTAAAGTCTGGCCTATAG